AATGCCCAACTAGTTTTTTTTTTTTTTTTTTTTTTTTTAGGATCAGGCCTCACCACTGCCAGATCTCACTGATTGGCACACACACAATAAGCCACTGAAATGTAGGAGAGATCATCAAGCAATTGTCTTGTGTCTACTTGAATATTCCACCAATGCTCTCAATGCGGCTGTATGATGGAAGTCAATGGGAGAATGCAGTGAATAAACAAAGAGCATTAACAATAGCTTTTAGTGCTGTTGAGGGAAGAAATTGTTGCTGAGGATAATGGTTATGGTAACCCCCCCCCCCCTCCTACATGCAACACAATTGAGGCAGTAGAGCCAAGAAACATGAAAATCATCATGTGGCCATTTGTCTTCTGGAGACAACACATTACATTTGTTGGTGCCTAAATAACTATGCAGGACCTTTTGTTAACCCATATCGGTTTCAAATTAAGTATAATCACACCGTTTAAATTACTGGGTGTCAACGCTGAATATTGGGTAAAGCTTATAGAGAGGGAGTCATGATTATTTAACGAACCAGGGCAATAAATGGTATGTGAAAGTAGTAATATTTACTAAAGTAAACCAAACGTTAGCTAGCATAAGCTAAGCCAGACAAGTACCAAGAGTTGGCAACATGCCACTAACGAATACCCATGGATTCACTTGTACTTTTATCATGTATTACAATTACGAGAAACGATGCTAGGTTGTCGTCGACATTCCTCTTCCTGACAAGAGCTATCGTTTAGCTTCCAACCCCCATTCTGATTTTTTTCCATTTCACTCCACCCAAACCCCCTCCCCCATGACACCCACCCCGAAACGCAGGGGGAAAAAAACCCGTCAATTCGGATTTATACCTGGGGTGAGCCTGTGTTCGCCTCCGACGGGCTGAGGAGACATCGAATGTGCCGGGCTGTCGACTGGGGTGCGGAGGTTGCACCTCTGCGGAGACGGAGCGCTCGGAGTCCCCGGCAGCGGGTTGCACCTTCTCCGCTTGGGAGACTGGGGACTGAGAAGGGCCTCAAACTCCATCGACCGCTTTAACGTAGCACCGCACGCCATGTTAGCTAAACAAAAAAACAGGAAAGTATGATAGGGAAGGAAAAAGCCGACCCGCGGTAGTAAGGTTTAACACTCCCTTTTGAAAGCTTAATGTTACTTGAATTTCGCCTTGGCCTTTCTTCCTCTCCACAACAACGGATTTTCTTCTTCTCTGAGTAGTAAAGCCCAACGGCCGACCTACTGAATTTTTAAAACGTCACAACGTGGATCATACCATTATAGAAGAAGAAAGGGGTGTGTCAATCTTTTCAACAATTTTTCGGAGATTATTCACTATTTCCTTTTGTAAATCCTAAATAAATTTGTATTTTAAAGAAAATAGCTAATCATTACTTGAATATATTTTTAATTTAATTTTTCCCCGTAGCGTTTTATTTTACAACATCCGGCGTTACACCCCCTCCACTAGGGTTCTCTTAACCTCTTCCAGTTGAACCAAAGACTTGAACTCAAAAAGAGGGTTCATGAGACGTCTGGTGGAGGTGATCAATGATCAATAAAGATTCTATTCTATTCTATTCTACTCTATTCTATTCTATTCTATTCTACTATATATACTCAGAAACTGAATTTGACTGTTGTGTATAAATAGATAAATGAGTCACACTTCTTAAAGTTTGTAAGCTAATTTATTAAACCACAATATGTGACAGAAAAGGTCAACACAGAGAACACAACAATATAAAAATGGCTCAAAATAATCCAAATATAACACGATGACCAAATCTCAATGAGTTGATCTTCTAAAGAAGAAAGCGAGCTTTCTTTTCAAACAGTTTGCTTCCTATGAGGATATTTTCTTTTACCTCAAATGTCCACAAAAAAGTAATAAAAGACAGTGAAAATTAGCACTTGTAGGCATTCCTTCCTACTGAAATATTTTGTTGCTCTGGTTTTGTTTAACCAAAAATAATTTCAGGTGTTTGAAAATTTGAAACACCTTATTTAAAACACCAAATTTGAAACATTATTAATAAATGAATAATAATAATTTATTTATAGTTTCCCCACTAATATAAATTGATCATATAAAATGTTTAATACAAACATTAGAAATGTGTAACGGGTACATTTTAATGTCAAGTCTTAGGTAAATAAAAAAACTGAAAAATAAAGACATAAGTAAATTATCAAACATTAAAAATAACAAAGCACATTAAATGGCACAGGAAGAAAAAAAGTTCTTTATATGACACTTTTTTAGTCACATGCTTTTATTAAATTTGTCTGTATGTGACTGCGTCAAAAAAAATCCAGTGTCCTAAACCTAACAAGTACACTGTACTGAACATTTTTTTCTTTATTTTATTTTTTAGGAGTTTCCCTCTTTGCCCAGCTACAGATGTGGCTCTTAAAAAGGACCGTTCCAGTGTCTGTGTTTGCTGYTGTGTGGGCCCATTCAGCTCAACACACTGCTTGAATTCATACTGTGAACTTTATGCAAAAACTGTTGCAGGTCTTTTGTGGGGCACTGGCATTCATGTGCAGATGGGACAGGCAACCAAAAGTGTCCTCTGTATTTATGTGAGCACAAAATACACTCAGAAATAAAAGACTAATAATAACATGTTTACTGTGTGAAACACACTAAATTAAGCTGTTACCTCAGCAGACACAGTGGGTTAACGCAAGCAAAAAGGAGACAGAGAATTCGAACATATGTATACATATAAATATATATATATATATATATA